ACAACTCCTCAAGCACACACCAAGGATAATGGTTTTTCTTCAAAGCTTCTTAATTTTGCGTGTGTTGGCTGATGTTGCTTATGGAACAAGTTAAATCATGGTAAGAGAATTACCAAAGCATGCCAGTTTCAGTACTTCAAAAAGGTCTGGTGTGTGTTTAGTGTGCTCGGGTAATTCTTCTTCTCAAGTGTGTGTGGGTGCCTGAGGAAGAAAAGCGGGAGGGGTATAATTTGGACCCTGATGTTGAGGAGTCATTAAAGAAATAATGAAGGACGCTCACCTTTGCTGATGGCTTCTTCCTCCGTCAGCCTTTGGTAGTTTTTTCCTCTGTATGTTGCACTTATACACTGATTATTATCACTATGATTAACTTGACTCGAGTAGTATTATGTCTGACAACACTGATGATCTGTTCAATGATGAGTGTGATGCAGTTAACTCTATAGCCTGATTTAATGTAAAATAAAACTGGTTAAATAAACAGGACATGGGCATTTTGTGTAAAGAGTTGTTACACTATGAATCATGAACTTCTGCAACTGTATAAAAATCAAAGCTAAAAGTAGACTTTGACATGCATGTCTCAACATTTATTTAGAGATATTAAGACATTTACCTGTTAGAGATGTTTTTTTTGTGAAGATAGATTTATATTTGATTGATTTGGATGGAGTACGACACAAAGACGCTTTCCAAAGTAAAACTGTACCTCTGAAAGAACAGGTAAGTGTATTTACATGTAGTGGTGGAAAGTCCATTTACTCAGTTACTGTACTTAAGCATTATTTTTAGGAACTTGTACTTTACTTAATGATTTAATTTGATATGCTACTTTATACTTCTTCTTTACTACATTGATTTGATAGCTTGAGTTACTTTGTGGATTGAGATTAAGATTATGATAAAATAAATTATGATGTATTATTATGGATAAAGACGAGACTTGATTCAAGTCACCCAGAAATATATATTATTATATATTTAATGAGTATTTTGATGCATTTGCTTTTGTACTTAAGTTTTGAATGCAGGACTGTACTATTGCTACTTAAGTAAAAGAGTACTTCTTCCAAGTCTGTCGACATGAGACCTGTCTGTAATGTCGAATACACAGTAAATACAGAAGCCATAATAATCCCAATGAAAAAAGAAAGTACTGTTGTAAGAGTTACATACTTTAGCACGTACAGTCATGGAAACAGTGCACTATATCCTCACTGACCAGAAACAACACACAGTCTCTGTGTACTTACAGTCATAACTTCCTGACAGGAACTTCTGAAACCTAAACATTATACATTTACAGTGTAGAAGTGTAACAGAATACAATTTGATTAACATATTAAAACATGAGAGACAGTGTACTGTACCTCTTACCTTCAAATAGGTCTTCCTGGTGTTTCAACGAGAAGAAAGAGAGTTGAGAGAGAGACTCAAAGAACAAAATGTGCCAACAAGGTGGAGTACATGAAGATAACTGAACAGCTGAGAATGATGGCAGTCTTTAAGTTTAAAGCTGTCTACAACATAACCACTGGATTCTTTTTATAGAAAAAGGCAATATCAAGAAGCTTAAACAATCACTTTCCATCTCCTCCTTATCGTAGTTATTAATTGTATTTGTACAACAGCTTTTTTGACACATGAATATGAACTATACATAAATAGCTGGAATTGACAGTGTATACTAGAACCTAAAGGCACAGCAGTAATCAGACATTCAGTATATGGGCAGATCATGTGTTGCTATTTAACCCACAGATCCAAATGTACCTCGCAAGCTGTCCAGCTAAATCAAACAAAGACACTTGAGAACGTCAGTGAGTTATCTTTGTTCTCAAGGACAAAAGGAAGGACCAGCAAAAAAACAAAGACCAGTAAAAAAGACGGCATGGACTGTGCATCGTTGTCATTGACCAGTGAAGGATGGGAGCAGCTGCAGTCCTTTCAACACTTCTGGACAGATCAAACCTACACAGCAGATCAAGTTCAAGTTATTCCAACTGTAATAAAACAGCTGAAATCTAATTCAGGGTGCACATTTTTTTTAATGTCAGTTGTAATTATGCAAACAGGACACAAAATGTACAGCTGTACAAACTGTACAAAACCTTTAAAGCATTTATCAGAAAGTATTTTATTTATTAACTTCCTTTTCTTTATTATAGAACTTGGGCTGAGCCAGGAACTATTACTTACTTGTGCCTCCAGTTAAACGTGTGTTTTAATGAGCTCTACAAATACTGTAAATTCGACTAAAAGTACTGGAATTAAAAAAATAACAGAGAAGCAACTCTTTAAAAATGTGTTTTTGGAAGTAATTGAATCAAATTCTGTCAGATTGAGCTCCTCAGAGGTCATGTCAAATCCTCAGGGTCCTGATGACCAGAGAGGGTCTCAGGCTACACAAAGATCTTAAAGTGGAGCCATGAAGGAGGGGACCTGGGAGAACTTTGGGCCCCTGTTTACCCTCTCTTTCTCTAAGAAGATGCAGCCTTAATTAGGCAATGAATTCAATTACCAAAAGTGAATTGCCACATAGTGAAGCTGGAGCCTTCGGGACCCCTGAGGCTGTAGGGCTGCTTGCCCCAGCTTCCAGGAGCTGAACTATGGACATCCATCAGAGTTGGAAGAGTTCCTCTTACAAAATAAAGTTGAATTCATGTTAGCAAATTCTGAGTAGATATTTCTCTTTAACTGATATTACTGAGACAGCCTGCTGACTTTATATCTCTTCTCTCTTTTTACTACTGATAACTGTTGCTGGTGTTTAGACTTACCTAGACTTGCTTTAAATGAACAAACTTTTGAAACATTTAACATTTCATGCTCTGCACAGATAAACTATGTTTTTTTCTAATTGCGCTTCCAGTTAAATACCATGCATTTTATATTTGTGGTTTTCGCAGCAGCCATTTTTAATTAAATTAAATTTAAATGTTCAAATATTTGACCAGGGAGAGGTCAGGAGAATAAACTGAGGTTCAGCATTCTCTTTATTCCTTCACCACCACGAGTGTCTAGACTCCATCAGGGGGTTTCCTGTACTAACCACGGCTTTACCAACCTCGTCAAATACAGTGACGTCACAATGCCGACTAATCGCCAAAGACTCATCTTCATTGTGCAAATATCAATTCAGTATATTTGTTCATTCAAAAATTAAGTCTCTCCTGATTGAACTAGAAGAATCAGAATCAGGTTTATTGCCAAGTAAGTTTTCACATGCAAGGAATTTGCCTTGGTACATTGGTGCATGAGATTAACAATCAAGTGTAAAACAATATAAATAAAGATAAAACTACCACTATATACAAATATAAAGACAGAATATGTACGAAATGGCCAGATATTATGAGTAAAGAGCTGTACAGAAATGTGCAAAAAAACAACAACAAAGCAATGGAAGTGCCTTAATGTAATGCATACAGGCCAATCAGTGTCCATGGGGGTCCCGGGCCTTGTTGATGAGACTACAGTGTGTTCTCCAACAGGCAGTAGTCCTGTCTTGTCATGTGTGAGACTGACTGCAGAGAGACAAGTAGACAGCTGAGACCAGGACCCTAGACATCAGTGAAAGTTGACCTCCCGTCCAAGGAGATCACAGCTAATCGTCAGGTGTGAATTTGCGACATCCAAAGAGCTTCTCAAGTGGAGTGTTGAGGTCCTGCAAAGAATGAAAACTCCTCTCACTATTAACCCAGTTAGCACCTTGTAATCTGTCACTTTCTTTGGACAGTAAAATCTGACAGGTATCTTAACCCTAAAGGAATGTGACACTGGGAGGTTAAAGAGGAGGACCAAAACCTTTTGACTCGACAGTTCGTCAAACCTCTGGGCCTCTTTCACTCTCCACAGTCTTTGTTTGATGGATCTGTTTCAGTCTTGTTAGCTTTTTACTTTTCTTAAGTCATAATTATTTATTTATTCATATTTTTATGTTTTTTTATTCCTTAGTAGTCATCAACCTCCATTTCTCTGTGAAAACTGTGTGAGTGAGTTATTGTTGTTATTGTCATAATAACATATTTCCTAATTGCTTTGACTGGTGTTGATGATCTAGAGTATAATATACATCGTCAAACCATCTTTTTATAAAAATTTGCAAATTCTTGGTTGACAACAGTTCATACAGTACCTTAATCTAGTGGCTCCTCCATGTATGGCCTTTAGGTGTTTATTTATGTCCTCTGAGACCTATACAAATATAAAGCACCTGTCACAGAACAATGAGAGGTCAAGGTCTGGCAATCAAACCAACCTCACAAGTGTCAGAAAGAATTCAAGAAGTATTTCACAGGTTTATCTTTGTTCTCAAGGATAAAGAGAAGGAACAGTTGACAAGACAGGTCAGAGGTATAGCTGTTACTCTCACTTGTGACAATGGAGCATTGCGACCTTGCCTTCGTCAGCAGAAGACAGGTGGATGTGCTCAGTCACATGCATGAATTAAGAGATATGTGCATATGATTTTCAGGGATGTAGTCAACAGCAAGGATGTTTAACATTGTGACTTCTGGTGCAAACGTATCTGAATGGACAAGTCCGTTTTCAATTCAATTCTATGTTCCCATAAGGCCATGAAATTATTAAGAAGGGGTGGGCTAAAATAGAACAAAGGCTGTGAAATTTACAATGGCTGACCTGATGTCATCACACCAGCAGGTTGTCCTTATTGGGAGTGTGAGAACAAATGGTTACGAGCCTTAAAAGTCAAAGAGGTAAACACCCCCAACCTAAATATCCAGATCATCTGATGAAGATCTGAATAATTAATTTCAGTGCCTTTTAGGGTGGGGCATCACCCTTTTAAAAGAAGACTGGAGGCAGGAGGCAAGTTACCAGACAGCCTGAGGGTGAGTATACTGGAGGACATCTGCTTGGTTTAACTGTA